CTGGAGAGGACGTATTTGAGGTTTAAAGGGCTGGAGAGGACGTATTTGAGGTTTAAAGGACTGGAGAGGACATATTTGAGGTTTAAGGGCATATGGTCTCTGTCCGGCACCTTGGGTGCTCTGCTGTTGTAGGGAAAACAGCCAAGACAGTCTCTGAGTGAGTGGGCATGACTGGGTTCCAGTAACACTTTATTTCTAAGAACAGGTGGTGGGACATAGTTTGCATGGCCTGGCTCTAAAAACGAACAGATAAATGGGGTGATAGGCTGACAAGGCTGTTTTATGACTGAAATGAACATAAGGGTTATTAGTCCCATGGATCTTAGCCTGCCTGAACATTAGACTCACCTAGGAAATTGTTTCTGTTGTTGTTTTAAGAAACAAAGTCTCGTTCTGTTGCCCAGGCTGGAGTGCAGTGGTGTGATCATAGTTCACTGCAGCCTTGAACTCCCGGGCTCAAGGGATCCTCCTGCCTCAGCCTCTCAAGTAGCTGAGAGCACAGACATGTGCCACCACACCTGGCAAATTTGTAAAATTTTTGTAGAGGGTCTCAGTGTGTTGCTCAAGCTGGTCTTAAATTCCTGAGCTCAAACAATCCTCTCGCCTCCACCTCCCAAAGTACTGGGGTTACAGGCTTGAGCCACCAGGCCCGGTCTAGCCTAGAAAGTTTTTCTTGTTGTTGTTTTTTGAGACAGAGTCTTGCTCTGTTGCCAGGCTGGAGTGCAGTGGCATGATCTCGGCTCACTGCAACCTCCACCTCCCGGGCTCAAGCAATTCTCCTGTCTCAGCCTCCTGAGTAGCTGGAACTACAGGTGCACACCGCTACACCTAGCTGATTTTTGTATTTTTAGAAGGAACGGGGTTTCACCATGTTGGTCAGGCTGGTCTCAAACTCCTGACCTCATGATACACCTGCCTCAGCTTCCCAAAGTGCTGGGATTACAGGCATGAGCCACTGCGCCTGGCCACCTAGAAGGTTTTTTAAACATATGAGCCACACCCCACACACTGTGCAGGCAGAAAAGTGGAAAGCCTATCACAGTGAACACCTTTGTCTTCTAGAGTCAGTAATTATAAATATTGTTACAGTTCTTTTCTTTCTCTTCTTTTTTTTGCTGACCACTGCAAGTTGCAGATATCATGACACTGCATCCTTAACTACTTCAGCAGGCATCTCGCGAAATCAGGGCCTTCTCCCGCATAAGCACACTGCCCTAACAAGCCCATAAATGCTGTAAAACAGCAGCTCGCATGCCCAGACTTTCCAGTTATCCCCCAAAATGTCTTTTTAATTTTTTGTTGTAAGCAGCATCCAGTCAAGTTTCACACCCGCAAAGGAGCCTTCTTCTGACTAATGGAGATTCTAGAGTATGTGGGGGAGACAAATTTATGACGGAAGAGGAAAAAGATTTTGGCAGGCAGTGGTGGAGCCTAGAGTACAAATGGAGGGTGGGCTTGAGTGAAGCCAGCTCGTGTCATCATGTATTTCGGGAGGGAAGGTGGGGAGGGCACAGCAGCTGTGGTGACCTTGGTTAGGGGAAGTCAAGGCAGCCCATGTCCGATTGTTCCGGTGTTTTCGAGTGACGATGTGGCAGGGGTGGCGGTGCAAAGAGATGGGAGATGCTGTTCTGGAGAGTGGTGGGCAGACATACCACTGGAGAAGAGCAGGCCTGCCAGGCAGCGTGGATGGTGGGATTAATGGGCTGAGGAGGGGGATGGTGGGATTAATGAGCTGAGGAGGAGGATGGTGGGATTAATGAGCTGAGGAGGAGGATGGTGGGATTAATGAGTTGAGGAGGGGGATGGTGGGATTAATGAGTTGAGGAGGAGGATGGTGGGATTAATGAGCTGAGGAGGAGGATGGTGGGATTAATGAGCTGAGGAGGGGGATGGTGGGATTAATGCCCTGAAGCGGTAGATGGTGGGATTGAGGATTGGGTTTTCTAGGGAGGAGGGACAAGGCAGTTAAGCGTTTCACAAAGGAGAGGTTCTGTTGATTTCCCCCGAGTCTAAACTGGGTACTGAGGGACATAACAGAGAGTGATGGGTGTGAGGACAGGGCCTGGAGTCGTGATGTGGTTGAAGAATTACTAGATTGAGGTTAATACAGTCAATGAGCTAGAAAGAAAGGATGGAGAAGACAGACAGAATCCTTGATTGTTTTGTTTTGTGACAGCGTCCCACTTTGTCACCCAGGTTGGGGCGCAGTGGCTCCTATCAGCTCACTGCAATCTCCACCTCCCTAAAGGTACTCTGTCCACATACAGTCATTGGGGGTTAGGGCTTCCCCATATGAATTTAGGGGGTACATAGTTCCTAGATAGGACAGCATATTGTCAGGATGTCCATATCATGTAGTTCGTTTCTAGGTTAAATGCAATTCCAGTAAAAATCCCAGTAGGGACTGTTTTCGAAGCTGGCAAACTGATTCTGAAATTGGATAAAGTAGGGGCATTGTGGCAGTGTGGGATTGCATAAGGATAGATTAATAGGACAGAGACCAGACAGAGGGGCCCCGAGACAGAACCGTGTCCCAGTGGAAAGAGATGCTTAATCAGTGCAGTGAGTGGGTTTGGGACAGTCAGTTATCTATCTATTTGGGGAAAAAGTGAAATTGGGTTTGTACCTCACCTTGCAGATAGATTAAGAACTTCAAAGTAAAAACATAACATTTCGGAATCAAACTAAGGAAATTACATTTCTAACTTTTTGGTAGAAAAGATTTGTTTAAGTTGTTAGCAAAGCCAAGGCAGGAGAATTGCTTGAGGCCAGGAGTTCGAGACCAGCCTGGGCAACATAGCAAGGCCCCCCTCCCCCCCGCCAAACCCATCTCTAAAAATGTGTTTTTAATTAGCTGGGCATGGTGGCATGTGTCTGAAGCCTCAGCGATGCCGGAGGCTGTGGCAGGAGAATTGCTTGAGTCTAGGACTTCGAGGTTACAGTCAGCTATGACTGGGCCACTGCACTCCAGCCTGGGTGATAGAACAAGATCCTGTCTCAAAACAAAAAAAAAAAGAAACAGGTTCCATGGGTGGGTTTCTTCAAGAAACCATGAAGAAAAAAGTGAACATATAACTACATAGAAATTGAGAATGTGTGGCCGGGCACGGTGGCCTGTAATCCCAACACTTTTTGGGAGGCGGAGGCGGGCAGATCACGAGGTCAGCAGATCGAGACCATCCTGGCTAACATGGTAAAACCCCATCTCTACTAAAAAAAATACAAAAAAGGCCAGGTGTGGTGGCTCACTCCTGTAATCTTAGCACTTTGGGAGGCCGAGGCGGGTGGTTGGATCACCTGAGGTCAGGAGTTCAAGACCAACCTGGCCAACATGGTGAAACCCCATCTCAACTAAAAGTACAAAAAAATTAGCTGGGCGTGGTGGTGGCGCCTGTAATCCCAGCTACTTCGGGAGGCTGAGGCAGGAGAATCACTTGAACCTGGGAGGCAGAGGTTGCAGTGAGCTGAGGTGGTGCCATTGCACTCCAGTCTGGGTGACAAGATTGAAACTCTGTCTAAAAAAAAAAACACACACACACAAAAACAAATAGCTGGGCGTGGTGGTGGGTGCCTGTAGTCCCAGCTATTCGGGAGGCTGAGGCAGGAGAATCACTTGAACCTGGGAGGCAGAGGTTGCAGTGAGCTGAGGTGGTGCCATTGCACTCCAGTCTGGGTGACAAGATTGAAACTCTGTCTAAAAAAAAAAACACACACACACAAAAACAAATAGCTGGGCGTGGTGGTGGGTGCCTGTAGTCCCAGCTATTCGGGAGGCTGAGGCAGGAGAGTAGTGTGAACCCAGGAGGCGGAGCTTGCAGTAAGCCGAGATCGTGCCACTGCACTCCAGCCTGGGCGACAGAGCGAGACTCCGTCTCAAAAAAAAAAAGGAAATTGGAACATAAGTTTTTTTTTTTTTTTTTACAAAACATATGAAGAATATAAAAACACAGACCAAAAAAAGATATTTGCCCATATATACAACCAAGAATGGGTTGGTGTCAAGAGTATACCAACAGACAAAACAAATCAACAACACAGAAAATAGGCGAAAGATGTAGGTAAGACAGGCAGTTTACAGAAGAGAAAGCCTCACTGACCAGAAAAATACCCGGTGAACCAGCTTCAGGAGGGATCACGGCAAGCCGAGCTAAAACAGTGAGGCACCTGCCACCCCCAAACAATTCTGCAGAAAGGTCCAAGCCTGAAACAGTAGCGAGTATGAGTAAAGACGTGGAGCGGCCAGAATCCTCAGCCACGCTGCTCACAGCCATGGGCAGGAGTCTAATCAGACGAGAGGGAACGTGTGTGTGCCCCGGGCTCACCCCACGCCTCTCCTGAGTGTGCCCACCTGCACCAGGAGACAGTGTCAGTGGGCCTGCAGCTGCAGTACTTGTGACAGAAAATGTCCGTCCGTAGTGGGCTGGACATCGAGGAGCATCCGGCTCACGGGCTGTGACTCCGTAGTGGAAACTGATGAGCTACAGCCATGTGCATCAGGGTTACTCTCGGAGGCACAGATTTTTTTACAAAACAAATTATAGAAGAGTCGTACAGTGTGGCTCAGGTTGTAGAATACTTAACACACAACAAAACAACTGTTCAGGGGCAGGTCCTTATGTGCCAAAGCCATGAAGACAAGCTGATGAGTCATGACCACAGATGGGGAGGGGACGCTCAGGTCTGAGCAGGGCGTTAGTGATGCTGCCCCAGCCCAAGGCAGAGGGACATGGGTGTGTGTTTAGTTACTGTTTTAAAAAGCACATCAGCGACCGGGCGCGGTGGCTCACGCCTGTAATCCCAGCACTTTGGGAGGCCGAGGCAGGTGGATCATGAGATCGGGAGATCGAGACCATCCTGGCCAACATGGTGAAACCCCGTCTCTACTAAAAATACAAAAAAAATTAGCTGGGCATGGTGGCACATGCCTGTAATCCCAGTTACTCAGGAGGCTGAGGCAGGAGAATCACTTGAACCCGAGAGGCAGAGGTCGCAGTGAGTCAAGATGGTGCCACTTCACTCCAGCCTGGCCAACAGCGAGACTCTGTCTCAAAAAAAAAAAAAAGCATAGCAGCTGGGTGTGGTGGTTCATATCTGTAATCCCAGCACTTTGGGAGGCCAAGGTGGGTGGATCACTGGAAGTTGGTTTTGGGACCAGCCTGGGCAACATGGTGAAACCCTGTGTCTACTAAAAATACAAAAATCAGCTGGTCGTGGAGGCATGTACCTGTAGTCCTAGCTACTGAGGAGGCTGAGGCAGGAGAATCACTTGAACCTGGGAGGTGGAGATCACAGTGAGCAGAGATCATGCCATTGCACTCCAGCATGGGTGACAGAGTGAGATGATCTCAATAAATAAATAGCATATGATGCATTAGATATACCCCCTTTTATGTTTACAATGAAATTCATTAAAAAAAATAAATGTTCCTGGATGTCCTGGAAGATTTTTTTTTTTTTTTTGAGACAGGGTATTGCTCAGCCCAGGCTTGAGTGCAGTGGCAACATCACGGCTCACCCTAGCTTTGACCTCCAGGCTCAAGCGATCCACCCACCCCAGCCTCCCAAGTAGCTGAGACTACAGGCATACACCACAATGCCTGGTTGATCTTTGTATTTTTTGTAGAGACTGTGTTTCACCTTATTGCCCAGGCTGGTCTCGAACTCTTGGGCTCAAGTGATGCTCTAGCCTTGGCCTCCCAAAGTGCTAGGATTACAGATGTGAGCGACCACACCCAGCCCCTGGGAGATTTTTTTTTTTTTTTTTTGAGACAGGGTTTCACTCTGTTGCCCACTCTTGAGTGCAGTGGTGTGATCTTGGCAGCCTTGATCTCCCAAGCTCAAGCAATCCTCCCACTTCAGCCTCCAGTAGCTGAGACTATAGGCGTGTGCAACCACAATGGCTGATTTTTATATTTTTTGTAGAGATGGGATTTGGGCATGTTGCCCAGGCTGGTCTCGATCTCCCAAACTCAAGCAATCCACCCGCCTCAGAAGATTTTTTTAAAAAATGAATGTCATATAAAATGGAAGAGGGATGCAGAAGTGGACATAGTGACTCGAACCTTCACTAAGGAGTGAGGAGTTTGCTGTTGGGGCTGCAGGGTTGAGGAAGGAGTTTTTTTAAGAGGGGAGATAGTGGGTAATCGTTGCGTGTGGCTGGGCATCTGCGACAGGAGGGAAAGCAGAGGGTGCTGGTGCCTGTGTGGGGGTCGCTGGATTCAGTGCTGGCAGCACGAGCGAGTTCTCTTCCCATGTCACGGAACCTGCTTTCTTGGTGAAGCAGGAAGCGAGAAGCTAGACTGTGGGAAGTCAAAAGAGTGGGCCACCTCACCGCCCTGCGGGTTCTAGAAGTGCTGTCTAGAGAGTCCTGAAACGAGTTTGTTGGGGGAGGGGCGAGTGGCAGGAGGGACCCTGGAGGAAGGAGCTTGAGGCTGAGGCTTTGGAGGGGGATCGGCACAGGCCTGGTCAGGAAGGCCCTGTAGGATGTTGGGTGTTCATTTAAAGGGCATCCAAACCCATTGACGGGTTTGGAGCAGAACAGTGACCCCAGTGAAAGAGGTGCAGAGTGGAGTCAGGAGGCAGAGAGCAGCTGGGCCTGCATGGGCTGTGGGCGTGGCCTGTCTTGCTGCTGCCAGGGAGGACCCTTGGGTTCTTGGGTCTCAATGGCATCACCCCAGAAACTGCTGGGTTTGCCCACAGCTGCTCCCTCCCCCAGGTGGTGGAGATTGTGAAGAAGCTGGAGTCTCGCCAGCGGGGCTGGGAGGAGGATGAGGATCCTGAGCGGAAGGGGGCCATCGTGTTCAACGCCACGTCCGAGTTCTGCCGCACCTTGGGGGAGATCCCCACCTACGGGCTGGCTGGCAACCGCGAGGAACAGGAGGAGCTCATGGTGCGTCTGGGGCGGCCCCACCCTGCGCTTCCCTGGGCTGGCTGGGCGCCTGCACCAACCCTGGCCTTTTGCGCCCCAGGACTTTGAACGGGATGAGGAGCGATCGGCCAACGGCGGCTCCGAATCTGACGGGGAGGAGAACATCGGCTGGAGCACAGTGAACCTGGACGAGGAGAAGCAGCAGCAGGATGTGAGGGCTGCGCCGCTGGCGGGTGGGCATGGGGGTGGCGCTCAAACTAGAGATGAGCACTGGGCTCAGTGTCCAGAGCCTCAGCCTCCTCATCCAGAGTGGGCTCTGTAGACCTCTCAGGGCGATCTGAGGAGTACATGAGGAAATTAAATGTTGTGGAGGCCTGGTGCCTGGTGGGTGGTGACCAGTGGGTGGGGCTGAGAAGAGCCGGTATGGCCTGCTAACCACTTCTGTCACGTGTCCCCTAGTTCTCGGCCTCCTCCACCACCATCCTGGACGAGGAACCGATCGTGAATAGGGGGCTGGCGGCTGCCCTGCTCCTGTGTCAGAACAAAGGTAGGGAGCTCAGGGCAGCCCGAACTTGGGTGGGCCTGGGTGCTGCAGCAGGAAAAGGGCTGGTGAGGGCCTGCGGTGCGGCAGGTGCAGGCAGGGTCCCCTCCCGTCCCCTCTGCTGCCCCTTTCAGTCCCAATGCTGGAGCCAACTCCCTGGCCCAGAGCTACTCCTTCCCCTCCACCCCGGCGTCTGTCCGTCTGCTCTGCCTTTGAGGCTCCACACCTGCTCCAGGAAGGAGAGCGGAGTTGAAACTGGTCCAGCTGTGGCACAGAGAGCCCTGGTGTTAGGACCCCAGCTCTGCATTTCCCTGGCCAGTGGCCCTTGGCATGGGGCGCGTTTCTGGCATCTTTGCTTTTTGCCTGTAGAACAGGCCTGATGGCTTTCCAGAGACAAGGAAAGGGAGGTGCCCCCGCAGGGCCTGCTCTACGTTCTCAGGCAGCCCTGGAGCTTCGGCCCTCAAGGGGTTGGGAGTCTCACAACCCCTCCGTCCCTAGGGCTGCTGGAGACCACAGTGCAGAAGGTGGCCCGGGTGAAGGCCCCCAACAAGTCGCTGCCTTCAGCCGTGTACTGCATCGAGGATAAGATGTGAGTGTGGCGGGGTGTGTGCAGGGCTGATGGGCCTGTGCCAGCTCGGAGCTGCAGGAACACAGCAGGCAGCAGCTCCTCACACTAAGGCCCGCTCTGTCTCGGGCCAGGGCCATCGATGACAAGTACAGCCGGCGGGAGGAGTACCGAGGCTTCACACAGGACTTCAAGGAGAAGGACGGCTACAAACCTGACGTTAAGATCGAATACGTGGATGAGACGGGCCGGAAACTCACACCCAAGGAGGTGAGCAGGGCCTTTTGCAGGCGGAGGCCCAGCCTGCCACAGGGAGGCCAAGCCCAGGGCCGTGCAATGCCCCAGGGTCCTGGCTCCATCAGCCTCTGGCCGGGGGTGAAGTGCCACGGATAGGGAGGGGGCCCTCAGGGCCAAGAAGGGCTCAGCCTCAGTTTGTCTCTAGTGGGCACAGCAGTCCTTTCGCAGGCCAGGCAGGAGGGTCTAACAGGCACTCGGGACCTCTGCCCTCCTGTCCTCACCCGTGTGAACCCTTCAACAGCTTTCCTGGCCCGCAGGGCCATTCCAGCATCCAGACCCTTCCATCACTCTTGTAGGCTGCCTGACCCTCCTGCCCCACCACTCAGCTGCCCCCATGCTCTCTGGGGTTTGTCTCCCTCCAGCCCCAGCATCCAGGCCCCGCCCCTGCGTGGCAGGTCTCCAGGTTCCCTGTACTCTGCCACCATGGCAGCACATCTGCTAGCCAAGCTGGTCTCCCAGCCTCTGCTGGGGCCCTGCAGAGTGCCAGGGTCTGTGCCCTTTTCCTATCCCCTTCCCACCACCCCAGGCCTGGCATTGGGGTGAATCAACACCCGCCCTGTTACTACACACCTTGTGGGCACAGGTGGCTCCGGCCCCAGCCAGGGCTCTGCAGCTCCCCTCACGCCCTGTGTCCCCAGGCTTTCCGGCAGCTGTCCCACCGCTTCCATGGCAAGGGCTCAGGCAAGATGAAAACAGAGCGGCGGATGAAGAAGCTGGATGAGGAGGCGGTGGGTGCTCTTGGGGACGTGGGGGGCCTTGCGCCTGCCGGGACAGGGATGGCTGGTGTGTGGGGCCTGCTGCAGCCCTTGTTGAGTGGCCCTGACCCCGCAGCTCCTGAAGAAGATGAGCTCCAGTGACACGCCCCTGGGCACTGTGGCCCTGCTCCAGGAGAAGCAGAAGGCTCAGAAGACCCCCTACATCGTGCTCAGCGGCAGCGGCAAGAGCATGAATGCGTGAGTGACTCGAGGCTGGTGGGGTTGGGTGTGTGGGGTGGGGAGGGGAGAGGTGGCGTGGCCTGTGCCCGCCTCTGCAGCCTCACGCCCTGTTCTTCTCTGCAGGAACACCATCACCAAGTGACAGCGCCCTCCCTCCCCGGCCCCGCCGCAACCTTCATATTAAATAAAGCTCCCTCCTTATTTTTTCCTCCCTGGTTGTGGTACAGATTCCAGGGTTAGATCCTTGGTTGGGTGTGGCACAGAGTCTGGCTCCTGCTAGGTGAGACCCGGCCATCAGATGACACAACTAAACGACGGAAGAGAGAGCAAGAAGGGTCCTCTGAGGCTCCTTCCTTCTCCCCTGGCTGTTGGTCACATCTCTGCAGGGCCGGCTCTCTGATAGAAAGTGGAAGGCGGTTTTAGAAACTCGTCACCCTGCTCTCTCCTGGCCTCGGGGGCTGCACAGGTCACTGTCCTGTAATCTCTCCCTGTCAGAGAGCCCAGGGCAGCCCAGGACTGCCCAGCCTGGTGGGCTAGGGATTGGGTTTTGGGCAGGGCACAGGTGCCACCTTCTGTCTTGGCTGTCCTGTGCCACTCTGGTCTGTGTCTAGAGGAGTGAAATTCCCAAGGTTGGGCTGGGAGTGTTTTGTGCACGTGGTATGGGGAGGGCTGGGAGTGTTTTGTGCACGCGGTATGGGGAGGGCTGGGAGTGTTTTGTGCACGCGGTATGGGGAGGGCTGAGCCCAGTGTCTCCTGGGAGACTTGCCCACGTGCAGTGACCCAGAACGATGGGATCCTTGGCCTGAACTCTGTGATAGAGCTTGACCGAGCTGCTGGGGGACATGTGAGCCTCAAATCCATAGAAAGACAAACGGCCACCTTGGGTGCCCAGGACACTGGTGCCCGGCCCCACGTACACTCACATACTTCCCAGGTGGCTCCCACGTTTTAAGATTTTAAAAATGAAACCAAAAAATAAATTGACGAAAACTGTGAACTTTAAAAAATAATCAACTGGGCACGGTGGCTCACGCTTGTAATCACAGCACTTTAGGAGGCTGAGGCAGGAGGATCGTTTGAGCCCAGGAATTTGAGACCAACCTGAGTAACGTGGCAAAACCCCATCTCTACCAAAAATACAAAGATTAGCCAGGCGTGGTGGTGAGCGCCTGTAGTCCCAGCTACTTGGGATGCTGAGGTGGGAGGATCGCTTGAACCCGGGAGACAGGCTGCAGTGGGCCCTGATTGAGCCACTGCACTCCAGCCTGGGTGACACTCAGACCCTGTCTCAAAAAAAAATAAAAAAAAAAAATTTAAAATAATCTGGGGGTGAGAAAACTGTAGACAAGGTGCAAAACCCAGTAGCCTGAAGATGCACGGTTGGCACTGGCGCTATTGCTTTTGTGTGGCTGGAGCTGCAGGGCCGAGTCTTTGGGTGCCCTTCCTTGAGCTCTGTATTCTCTGTAGTTTGACGTCTGACTCTTGATTCTGTTTTCATCTTGGCTGCTTCGTGGGCTTCTTCAGGAAGGGTGTCCTGGGGTGTCTAGGCTGGGACTAGGACTTGGGGCAGTTTCAAAAGCCTAGGAGGAAGCTGGGAACAGTGGCACACGCCTATAATCCCAGCCCTCTGGGAGGCTGAGGCGGGTGAATCACTTGAGGCCAGGAGTTCGAGACTAGCCTGGCCAACATGGCAAAACCCCATCTTGACTAAAAATAAAAAAAAAAAAAAAAAAAAAAAAAAAAACATGGTGTGATGGCGGGTGCCTGTAATCCCACCTACTCAGTAGAATCGCTGGAGCCCAGAATGTCGAGGTAACAGTGAGCCGAGATGGTGCCACTGTACTCCAGCCTGGGCAACAGAGTAAGACCTTGTTTCAAAAAAAAATAAAGGAAGCCTAGGAGGTGCTTTCAGGGTTGGGACCGGGCAGTCAGTTGTCCCTGGCATGGACCCCAGGCCCCGGCCTAGTGTTCAAGTCACACCTTGACATCTGCAGGAAATGGTCCTTTAGGAGGCTGTCAAAGCTGCTGTCACAGCTGAAAATGACCGCAGCCTGGACTAGGGCCCAGGTGGAGCCGGGGTAGAACAGGCTGGCGTCAGCTCTGAGGCTGACTCACTTTCTGGCGCTAGTAACGGGGCAGAGTACGTGGTGAATCAGGGGCCTCCTCATTCGCGCCATCTTGCTTCCTCTCTGCATCTCTGGCTCTTGGTCCCAGCCCAGAGACTTCCCTTCTCTGCCCTGGCATACTCTACTCCGCTCCCCAGCTGTGTCCTGCCCGTGTGCCCAGGGCTGGGAGTGGCTGGGAACTACCAAATCCCTGGAGGCCTGAGCACCCCGGGAGACAGAACCCAAGGAGGCTTCCCAGCTCTGCTGCTCAGTAGCCAGACACCAACAGTGCTTCCCCTGCCCTCAAGTACCTGAGGGGCAGTGGTGGCTCAAAGGCTGCCCTGAGGGTCAGTGAGCCCTCAGCTAGGACCTCAGGAGCCAGGCAGGTGGCACTCAGGGAGGAGAGGGTGCTTATGTTTGTCCTCTGCGTTTCCCTTCACTGGGAAGGATGACCTGGGGCAGGTCATCAAGTCTCTGTCTCACCTACAAAATGGCGGGGGGAGGGGGGCGTGATCTCAGACTTCTAGGGCCACCCTACTGTATAGTTGAGGACCGATCCTTCCACAACTTCAACAAAAATGTGCTTAGCATTGGCAAGCACTGTCTAAGAACGCAGAGCAAAGCCGGACAGGCTACCTGGGCCTGTGGGGCTTGGTCCCAAGAGCAAGCAGCCACTGCGCAAGGGCATAGCCAGGTGTGAAGGATGGGAGGAGGCCCAGTTCCTGCCCTCCCAGGGCCCATCTCTCCTCCGGATGGGCCTTCCGGGTTGGTGATGTTGACCCCAGCCCACAGGCCAGTGGTCCAGTGCTGTGTGGCCTTGGTTTTGAGCAAGGCCAGGACAGGGTCCTCCTCTTGCTCTTCGGGCCTGCCCCTTCCTGTGCCCACATCCTACCCGGGTCCTCCAGGCTCCTCCAAGCCTCAGCCTGTGACCCCAAATCTGCCTCACCCAGCCCCAGGCAGGGCCCTGCCTCTTCCTCCACAATTCAGAGATGCTCTGGAGGGCCCAGGCAGGCCCTGCCAGCACGGGCTCCCTGTGGACCTGGGAAAAGGTGCCCTTCTGTGCAGTGGACGCAGGCCTTAGGAGCACGGCCTGGTAGGCAGATTTGCCCCCATTCATCCTACAGTGTGGTCCCTGGCGCCCCTCAGTGCCAAACCCACGATTGCCCCGGGGCTTTAATTTCCTGCCCTGCCTTCCCCAGCTGGTCCTGTCATTGTCCCTTGGCTTCCTCAAGAAGGGCTCAGCCCAGGTGTACATTGGGCAGTGGCTGAAGGTGACAACCAGGGTGAGGACCTGGCTCTGCTGGTGTGGGGTCTCTGGGCTCCAGTGCCATGGGTGGGAGGGACAGGCTGGTCCCAGGAAAGTGGGGATTTCGCAGTAAGAGTCCCGGAGGAGCAGGACTAATTGGCTGGAGTTCCCAGAGAGATCCACCAGCAGCCACGTGGACAATGGAGAGCAGGGTGGGGCTGAGGACCCTGACAATGCAGAGATTGCTAAAAAGAGTTTCCAAAACTGTGATACTGTTTAGAACCCACAGAAAAAGTTGCAAGCAATACAAAGTGTTCCCCTTGAGGCATTTGACAATCACTGGACAAGGGGATTCTGTACTGCCCCAACTAAGTGTGTGTTTCGTGCAAACAAGGGCGTTCTCCCACATAACGCCACCCAGGACATTGGGAAAAGTACACTGATGCATCACTTCCATCTCATTTTAGACCCCAACTGTCCTAATGTCTATTTTTTTTTCTTTGAGTTGTGGCCTTATTTATAAGCACTGGATGAGTCCCTGGCCACCCCAAGGACAGAGCAACCCTACCCAGCCCCAGCCCAGTTAAATGCTACAGTTGGGAGCTAGGGGGCTTGAGGGAGGAATTAAGGGAAATACAGGCCTAGGGACATGTACTCTGTTAAATGGTCACATATAGGCCAGATCCTGTGGTCTGCAGAGCTACGGCTGTCACCACCCCCACACCAGGACGTGGAAGGTAGGGAGAAGAGCCTGAGGGAGCCGAGGCAGGCCCAGGGGTGCCCACCCGTCGTGCTCTGGAATGTGGAAGGGACAGGAATGGCTCTCAGGGAGTGTATGGGAAGGACGAGGTTAGAACTGTCTTCTTGTGGGACCCAGTGTTAGGAACAACACCTGGTTTGCTTCTCTGTAAACACAGCAGCCTTGAGGGAGTGGCTGGCCAGCAGAGGCTCTGCCTACCCCAGACCCAAACACAGCCCGGCTCCTTCCCACCTCTACCCAGAAAGGATGGCAGCTGCTGGCTCCCTGCTCCCTTGAAGGGGCCAGGCACAGTCTGTGAGTCCTCGAGGGGCTCAGGAGAAGCTCTGGACAGGGTGGCTGACCTTCAGGCAGAACCAAAAGAGGGCCAGGCCCAAACAGCACAGCCGGCAAGATGACAGACACCAGGCTGCGTGGAGGCCTCTGTGTCGCCCTGCGTGCTTCCTTGCACCAAAGTAGGCAGCAGATACGTCACTTCCATGGATGTCTGCACCCGTAGGTGACACTTTCCTGCAGCAAGGGTGACGTGAACTCTGTCCACAGAAGAGTACTCCTGCAGTGCCCACGGATGGCCCTGACACCCACCTGAGGTTCTGGACCCCACAGTGATGATTCCTTTGCAGTAGGGCCGAGGTCAGGTAACCCTCCGGGAAGTCACTTTGCAGACGAGACAGCTATGGTGACTTCAGACATATTTCTCCCCGGGCTGCGTTCTGGATTGGAGCAGCTTTGTTGCAGGCACTGCATTGACTACAAGCTGATGAGTCCTGCCTTCCACCTTGATAAGCAGTGGGCACGCTTGCTCGCCGGGCTGGGCAGTACCTCATAGAAGGGGGTATGCCTGGGGTGGGGCAGGTTTACTGGCTTCACTCAATGGTACAAAGGGGGTCAGTTCCTCTGGGCCCAGCCCCACCTCCATCCCACCCCACTAAATCATTGCTGAGGGAAGCCTCTCCATCTGCAGCCACCACTAGCAGGTCACCAGCCTAGTAATGTCCTTTTTACTTTTTTTAAGACAGGGTCTCGCTGTGTCGCCCAGGGTGGAGTGCAGTGGTACGATCATGGCTGGCTGCAGCCTTGACCTCCTGGCTCAGGTGATCCTCCCACGTCAGCCTCCTGAGTAGCTGGGACCACAGCCACATGCTGTCATGT